GTGCAAGTGAGCACCGGGTGGAATCCGGGAGCAAAGAATTTTCAGTAACCACCAGAGGCTCACCCCCATAACAGCAACTGGTGCCCTGCCTTGGTCTGGTGCTCCTGCTCACCTGCTCCACCATCCCACCGCGGCCAATGCCCGCCATGTTCCGCACATGGCCCCTGGTGGTCAGCATACGTCATAGCAACCAGTTGTTCGGTTATTCCACCATTCTGTCTATTTGCATATTAGCCTTTTATTATATAGGGTGAGAACAATATGAATATGTTTCTGAGACATTACAGCCCAGCTTAAATCTCTAAAGCAGTGGTTCTCAACCTTGGCTGCACATTAGAATCACCTGGGAATCTTTTTAAAATCCTGATTTCTGGGCCTCATCCTCCAGAAATTCTGTTTCTTTGTTACTAATGTTGTGGCCCCACCCCATAACAAAGAAACAGAATTTCCGGAGGATGAGGCTCAGAAATCAGGATTTTAAAAAGATTCCCAGGTGATTCTAATGCGCAGCCAAGGTTGAGAACCACTGCTCTAAAGGCAACAGTAAGAAAATCATTATCTTCCACTGAGGGATGTCTATGAGGCCCTCCCATCACCACTGCAAATTCCTTTCCCCGTGCTCCAACTCCCACCTTCCCCCAATCAAGTATTCTATGTCTTCCTCCTTGGCTATAGGACAGGGCAGTATAGCAATATCCAGTGTGGTTAACGTTTCGATCCTTAACTTTTCATTAACCTACGTATTGGTCACAAACACATTGTTTAGAGATCTTGCAATTTGCATTTTAAAACCTATGTCTACATATAAACCAGTTTAACTTAATGGAGAGTATTATTATTGCTTTTATTATTATTGTTGGAGAGAGAGAGAGAGAGAATGGTAGGTGAAGCTTTCTAGAGAGAGAGAGCTAAATTCACTGAGCTCTTGCTATGGGCACTGTCAGTTACATGATGCAGGCTACCTGCACTTTAAGATAAGGCACAAAAAGGTTTATGTAATTTGCCCAAAACCCTGCTGAGCTGAAATTTCTAATAAGCTAGGCAATCTGGCTCCAGAGACTGCATACTTAACTGCTCTAGTTTAGAACAACAAAAAAAGATGGCTCACAAAGTAGAATGCCCTATTTTATATGCATCTTATTGTACCCCAGCCATCAAATTCATAATCATACCTAGGGAACAAATAAATGGAGACAGTTTAAAAGTAGAGATAGCTGGTTGGTGTGGTTCAGTTGTGCATCGCCCTGTGCACCAAAAGGTTGCCGGTTCAATTCCCAGTCAGGGCACAAGCCACAGTTTCTGGCTTGATTCCCAGTAGGGAGTGTGCAGGAGGCAGCTGATGAATGTTCCACTCTCACATTGATGTTTTTTTCTCTCTCTCTCTCCTTCTCTGTAAAAATAAAAATCACTTCAAAAGTCTTTAAAATAATTTTTAAAAATAGAGATAGACTTGTTTGTAAATGTGCAGATTGGAGGAATCTGGCAGCTATTAATTCAACAAAACAAAATAAAATACAACCAAAAGGCTGCTTACCACATCCTAATAATTGATCATGAGAGAACAGATATCAAAACCTGAAGTGACAATGCTTTGTTTACCCAGCCATCGACAAGAGAGTTAAAGCTGGCGCTGATCTATTTCTGAGTGTTTGCTAATTAGTTTTACAACAAATGGATGCTAACAGCACTTGCTCTTTCGCTCTAAGTAAGTTATTCACGGGGGTTGATTTATGTTATTTTTTCCCCTTAACATTTCATTATAGAAGTTTTCAAACAGACAGCAAAGTTGGAGGAATTTTCCAGTGAAAGTTTGGTATTCTCAGCACCTAGATTTTTCATGCCCTTTACAGCAAATTCTTTAGGAACAGCTTTCTTGATTGATCTCAGCTTCGTCTCTGAGTCATCTCACAGTGCCCAGCATGATGTTTGCTATTAGTTGAGTCATTTGGGTGAGTACTGATCATTCACTGTGCCTCAGGCAGGAATAAGTGATGAACAACTAATCAAGAGCAGAATCCAAAGAAGCAAAACAAAGAGACCTTTCATGTTGTGCATGTTATTACTGGTAAACTCTCTGTGCAAACTTATGATCAACAGTCACCTGGTGATAAAAGTTTTGAAAAAATATCAAAACTATAACATTTGCATTTTAAGCTAAAATTTCTGAGAGTTCTTTTTGTCCCTTATTGTCGCTCTTTCTCTTGCTTTTCACCCAGACTGAATAATGAAATGAGATGGAACTCACATGGTGCATAAAGGGACATTTACTCTCGCATGAACTGGCCAAATAATACTAAGTGCACTTGAACTTCTTTTCCAACAGTACTCAACCCTGCAGGAGCCATTTGAACATGAAGGCCACACTTATAGACATCTTAACCTTTCTCTCTTTAGAAAACAAGTATCATCAACTGAGATCACTGGAAATACTGCAAGGACGACACACTTAAATAAATCACAGCTGTGAGAGCCATTGTCCACCTTTCAATGTGATTATTGGCTGGGTGTAGCTAAGGGTTGTTATGGGTTGAATTGTTTCCCACTGAAAAGATGTGTTGAAGTCCTAACCCCCAGAACCTCAGAACGTGTCTTATTTGGAAACAGGGTCTTTGCAGATTTAAACAAATTATGATGAGGCCATTAGAGTGAGCCTTATGAATTCAATGTGACTTGTGTCCTATAAAAAAAAGGGGAAATTTGTACATGACGACAGACACACACATAGGGAGAACAGCATGTGAAGATGAAGGTAGAAGCTAGGAGAGAGGAATGGAACAAATTCTCTCTCACAGTCCTCAGATGGAACCAACCACTTAATCTCATACTTTTCACCTCCAGAACTGTGAGACAATAAAATTCTCTTGTTTAAGTCGCCCAATTTGTCGTATTTTTTTATTGCAGCCCTAGCAAATTAATACAGGAGTGTTGGCAGGAGCTCAGAGACCATAGCTTTGAAAATACAACAAATAAATAAATAAATAAATAAATAAATAAATAAATAAATAAACAAACAAATGAAAATGTATGCAAGGCTGAAAGCAGTGATGAGGAAACTCCATACTATTTCCCACAGTGGCTGCACCAAAATGCATTCCTACAAACAGTGCATGAGGGTTCCCTTTTCTTCACATTCTCCCCAACACTTGTTGTTTGTTGATTTATTGATGATAGCCATTCTGACAGGTATGAGGTGATATTTCATTTTTGTTTTAATTTGCATTTCTCTGATGACTAGTGACACTCAGCATCTTTTCATATGTCCATTGGCCATTTGTATGTCTATTCAGGTCTTTTGTCTATTTTTTTTAATTGGATTGTTTGGTGGGTTGTTTTTGTTTTTTGTGGGGGTTTTGGTATAGTCAAATTATTACAAAACTTCCTTGTGTAGGACTGGCTTTGAGGCATGTACTCGCCAAGCCAACCCCCTTCTCTCTCTCTCTCTCTCTCTCTCTCTCTCTCTCTCTCTCTCTTTCACACACACACACACACACACACACACGCGCGCACACACACACACACCACACACACACACACACACACACCACATAATCTGTAACAACTCTCTGGTTTCAATCAAAGGCTACAGGTTATCCTGCACTGGAGGTATATGGGTGTGAGTAGTGGGAGAGAAACAAGTTTTCACATATAAAGACTGGATTATCATTCCATTCTTTATAGAAAATATTATAAAATTATTATCTTTTGTAGAAACTATTGAAGACTATGCAGCCAAAAATTATTGAGAAAAGACTATTATAGAAGTGTGTCAGGCTAATAAAAACACTGTGTTGTTCTTAGGGATTTTGTAATACACATGGCATTTGCCAGCTTTTTAAGATTTATAATTCTTAGTATTTCTTTTCTCATTATAGATATTCACTTTTATACCTAGTTTGGTATTTCTTATTTGTATATTTTTCTTAAATAAGACCTATGCCAGTTGTATAAGCACTCAAAATTCTTGCAAAGAAACTAAGTATTTTAACTCCTAGTCTGACAATCCTAGCAGCCTCTCAGATCTACCCAGCCCGTTGACGCGGTGTCAGAATCAAAAGTTACCATGGAGAATCTGACCAGTGGTAATTTCCACTAAGACTAGGTCTTTTTATGTCTAATGACTTATCCATGTTGAACATTTTGATGCCAAGAAAAAAAAATTGAGCAATTCCCCTTTCCCCACCCAAACCTCTACCCCAGTAGTTTTCCTTTACACATACACCTCTTCATTTCCTGATTCTGGTCTGGGCTTGAAGCTAAGGTACCTGAATCCTGGCAGAAAAGCTGTTATTACAATAGTTTTGACTTAACAGGAGCAGGAAATACCAACAACCTTATGTGAGATATTCCCCAATGAACATCCAACCTGAATGCATAAATGTGGGGCCCTTGCATAACTCAGGTGAGGCTCAGATGAGATAGGGACATCTGGAAACACCTTTCCTCCTAATCTTTAGAGGCCACTGGGTAGATATAGATTCTGCACCATGAAATGCTGAAATAAGGAACTGAAATAACATTTTTTTAATGCAAGCCCCTGAGAAGTAACAAATAACATTTCTATTGGGAATATTATTTCAAATACTAACTTTAATTGTCAAACAGAGGAAAAATATATAAGATTACCAACAAAAACAGAGAAGATTTAGTCTGTTGAGAAAAGGGACTATTAGATTCACTGCCCAGTCCTTGCAAAATTAAGTATTTTCATTTTAATACTCCAAAGTAAAACAAAATAAGAGTTCCTTTCCCCAGTGCATTATATGGAAGAAATAAAGAAGAGAGAGAGAGAGAGAGAGAGGTGAAAACTGCCCAATCCAGAGAGAGAGGTGAAAACTGCCCAATCCTCTCACAAAGACCATAAGCCAATTTAGAAAACCAATAAAGCACATTCAATGAAACATGTTACTAACAAACTGATGTTACCAATATCTACACTGTAAAGTTTGAAACTTCATCCTACTCTTCAAAGTTTGAAACTTCATCCTACTCTTCAATATTACCTTAAATCCTTGTCTCAGGTGTTTATGATAACTTTCTCTTCCTTCACCTTGGACACTTTTGCCATTTTCTTTTAGTTTGCAGTATTAACATAATTGTTTTGTAGTCCTGTTTACTATGCTAGTAATAGCATTCAAATGAAACACACATTTTAGAATTGGGTTGGCCCTGTTGTGACCTGCCTGATGAATCACTCTTGGTCTACTGGCCTGTGGTTTCCCAGCACTGACACAACACTATTTTCCCCCATTAATTGGAGAAGCCTGTTTATGCAGATTCAAATACATGTCTGGGCTGGGCTGTTTGAACTGCTTTGGGGAAGAGCACTAACAAAAGGCATCTGGGTAGCTAGCTCTCTCCTTGAAGTCTAGGTGGGAGGGAAGCATGTGGCATGAGATTTTCAAAACAATTCCCTCTGCAGGAGGGTTGAGTTTTTTTGCTTGTATGGTTGGTTCTGAGCATAATTCCATGACTTCTATTTGCTTACCTCCCCAATATTTTGGTGTGAATGCATCTACTATGAGGATGGTCACAAAACAGAAAGAGTGGCACTGGGCAGAAGGATTCTTGGAGGCTAGAAGAGATCCCACTATTATACATTTCCCACAAAGTCCTTCACTCAGAGTAAGAACTCAGGTCTGTGTCTGTCCACAGATGGTTAAATGAATGAACACACTAAGAAAGGAGCAGAAATAAGACATGTAGCTAAACTTTATGGGGAATGAGGCCCTGCCAATCTCAGAGACTTACTTAGACAAGAATCTGCTAATCTTAGTGGCATCTTGGCTTGATGGCTGTGTGTCCTGGCACTGATGGAGCCCCACCAAACAACCCAGGTCATGCCCATTCTTCATTGTATTACTGCTAAATTAATATGGATATCCCAGACCATTTATTCTCCTGAAATCTCTATTCTCTATTTTATAGATGATTCTTGCACCTGGCCACTGTTGCTCCACCCACCCACCACCTACATTTTATCCTAAATTAAAAGGATTAGGGAGGAGCCTTAAAACCAGTTTTTTTTCTTAATTAGGAATGCTTATGAAAACAAGACCAGGAAATGAGGGCAGGGAAATGGTAAAGAGAAGAGGTTGAAAAGCAAATATGATGTGGCTGTGGCTTTCAGGTTGTCATAGAGCGACTTCTCTCCAGAAGCCAGGTTAATTGAGAATAGAAGAGATAATGTATATACAAGTCATTACCTTCTTCACTAAACCTAAAATTTACCTATCAGTCCAGCTCAACTTGACCATAATCCCAATCCTACTATAACTAACACTCTAAAGCTAGTGATAGAGGGTAGGGGAAAATGGAATACAAACAATAACAAATGAACCTCTGTATTATAAATGAATAACAAAATCACATTGCAAGTGGTGGGAAAGAAATGAGTTAACTCAAGTAACTTTTGAAATAGTATTTGGTCTATATACTAAAATGCAATAGACAAAATAACTGTACACAAATATATACTCAAGTAAACCATGTCTCTCATGGGTATGGGTTAATAATTCTGAAACTATTATATGTGTATATTAGGATTGAGCAATAAGTAAATCTACTATGGATAATGAAAGCAAGATTTCTCAGTATCAAAAAAAAAGGAGTTACAAACTAGGAAAGAGAAAGGCTAGGTAAAATGTATCTTATAGTATTGGACCAGAAACAGAGGTATCAGTATGAACGCATGGATTTGAGTGTGTGTGTGTGTGTGTGTGTGTGTGTGTGCACATGAGTGTGTGCGCGCGCGTGCAAAGATGGGCTACTCTTAGAAGTGATGACCTAGAGCCTGCCCCCCTCTAACCCCCCCTCTGTTTTGGAGTGCTAATCTAGGGTCCTTAGAGAGAGAAGGAAGATATGCAGTATTTTGTCAGTGTTTGTAAGGGAAGTAGGTATTAGACTTACACTGAGATATCAGGCTCACCATGTTGTTCCAAATGGAGCCAGTGAGGACATTACTGACCCAAAGCATGGAATGGAGCAGAGCTGCATAATGGGGGAGGGAAGTAAGAAAATGCCAGTTACACCTAAGGACCTCTATTCCCAAGATGTCTCAATACAGGAACCATGTTCTAGTTCAGTGGTTCTCAACCTTCCTAATGCCGCGACCCTTTAATACAGTTCCTCATGTTGTGGTGACCCCCAACCGTAAAATTATTTTCATTGCTACTTCATAACTGTAATTTTGCTACTGTTATGAATCGTAATGTAAATATCTGATATGCAGGATGTGTTTTTATTGTTACAAATTGAACATAATTAAAGCATAGTGATTAATCACAAAAACAATATGTAATTATATATGTGTTTTTCCAATGGTCTTAGGCGACCCCTGTGAAAGGGTCGTTCGACCGCCAAAGGGGTCGTGACCCACAGGTTGAGAACCGCTGTTCTAGGTATTGCAAACTCCGTTTCCTCCATTTCAACTCTCATAAAATAGTCACAAATCCAGAGACTGCTGCTTAATTTTGGAATATACTCTTGATCTATAAAATTTGTTTAAAGGCGGAAATTCTGTTTAAAATTTGAGCAAACCTAAAATTGTAGATCACTTTTAAGCCATTTTGTAATTAACAACATATGGTCAAAATGGAAAACACAACAATTCAAAAACAGCTCAGAGGGATTCTTCACACAGACTCAAGACAAACAATCAAGTTACTTTCTCAGAGAACTTTCCCATCGATTAGTCACTTGCACAACTTTACTAAGCATTAGTCAAAGAGAGTAGATGCCACATATAATGAATCACTCCCCGTTGAGGGAAGTCTCTGAGGGGTACTGACAAGCAATCCGTTTCTGTTTCCAAGGAAGGATTTCTTTATGCTTGAGTTTAAGGAGAGAGGATGACTATAACACTTCACATCAAAACAAGACTTGAATCAGAAGATCAGCAGGCACCCAAAGATTTGTGTTGATAGAGAGTGTGAAAGCAGCTGCTCTCTGTAATGTGAGCACTGTGATGTTTCTGACATAGAATTTTCTTGTTTCTCTTTTACCACTGACTGTGTTGTCTAACCACTGTCTGTGAAAATCTCATGCCCTACTAAATCTCCCTGTCCTATAACCTCTCTTTATCTGACCACCAGTCCTAAGAGATCAAAAAGGTTTAAATCAGACTTCAGTGTGTTTGCTTCCTTTGCCTGATTAAGCTGAACAGTTTACAAGAGCAATATAATGGAAATTCAAAACATGTAATTATCCATAAACTATAGAGTCAAAGGCTTAGCCAGGAGCTAAAATGATTGTGCATAGCCCTGTTTTCCATCTCAAAAGTATAGACCTAGGAAGGGCATCACTACTACTGTCCCTTCAGTACAGATGGGAATTCAGGTTTTTAAAATGTATTGAATAATTTATTTTAATTTAATAAACTGACATCAACTGAATATTGGATAATTGCTAAACCTAAACTCTAGGATTTATTTATCCAACAAATCATCCATAGCGATTGTTTATGATGCATGAGGGAAATCAAGACAAGTAATAAGGTAACTTTAAGAATGGAAAGAGAACATGTAAACAAAATGAACAATCTGATGTCACAGAGTGTGAGAAGGATCCAGAAATACCTTAAAGGAGAGAGCTTTTAACCCTGGGGGTGTCAGATTCCTAAAGAGACGGTCTTGCAGAAACTGACATCTGAGGTGATTCTGAAGGAGGAATTGGAGGTCACCAGACAGCCTTTAGAGTAAGGGAAAGTGGAGAGGGTTGAGGGGGCTAGGGCTTTCTTGGAAGCAAAGAAAATAGCTGGTACAAATGGAGGCATGAAATAGTATGTTATCCTATACAATGCAAAGTCAGTATTATCAGAGAAGTAGATGGGCAAGATGATAGGAGGCAAGCAGGTGCTGGGCACAATGGGAACAGATACTGCTGGAGGTCATCAGCTGCCCAGGGCCACCTTATACCTACTGTCAGAAGAGCCATGGTCAAAATTGCATTTTGGATAGATGTCTCTGGTTGCAAACAAAATGAGAGAAACTATAGTGACATCATGAAGTTTATACCGTCTGGTTAGAAATGTTTCTCCCCAATATTGTTTTAATCAGTTAAGTCATATTTAAGAGCACTAGCCTCTCTTTTCTTCTGATGCTTCAAACCCCATGCCAACTGTCAATAATGTCAGCAGCAATGGCATGGAATATGTGCGTGGGGGTAGGTGGTTAAGACTGTCACCACATCCTTTTCACCTGCTCCTTCAGCTAGTCCACATAAACATTGCATCTAAGTAAAGGCATTGTGTTTGCTCTAAATGGCAGCTTCAAGACAAGACAAAGTGCCCCGTTCAGCTTCCTGCGGCTCTTAGAAGCCCCTCCAATATGCAAATTCTATAGCACCCACTGAATATCAGCAAAAGATTCAAAAATGATCCTTTGTGTTTTTTCCAGGCTTTACAGGTCTCACAATGCCTTCTTGTGTAAAGCTCTATGGGAAACCCCACTGGTGTCCAAATGGTGGGGAGAGGCCTCTGCAGGTGAGGCCTAGGGAGAGTCTCCATTCCTCACTGATTAGTACCATTGCTCCTGGAATTGACAACAGATGGTTTGCTATTGGCTAAATTCTCAGCTGAATTTCCCAAGTCTTTTCAAGCCTGAGCTACCATAAATTATATTCAATCTGAAAAGGCAAAAGCCTGGAACTGCTCCATAAACATAAACAGTGTTGATGATCATCTACAAAACCAACATGAATTTCCTATAGTACTTTCAACACATAAAACTAATAGCTACTCATAAATACCTTCTGCTGTTTTATACATTTTAAATAACTTTGGTTAGGTGTAATATGATTACTTCAGTTTACCTTTTTGATACTATAAATACCATGTGCCTATTTTTCTCTTCTTTCCTTTTTTTTCTTTTTCACTTTCACTTAGCTGTTACCAAATGGTAGATTGTTCGTAAGAAATTAAAACGAACGTTTTATTTGTGAAAAATTAGTATCAATTATTCAGGATAGACAGATCCTCTTCCTTTTTCTCACCATACTCATAGGGTTGCCAGATTTACCAAATAGAAATAACAACGATCAAGTTAAATTAGAATTTTAGATAAACTACAAATAATATTCTAGTATAAATATATTCCATGTTATATTTGGGACATGCTTATATTAAAA